AGTGAGAGTACGACTAGCCATACCTGCAACTTTTGGTTGCCTATTTAAGTAGTCTGCCTGAGGTTCCATACTAGCTGCCATACCTGCAACCCAACTAGAGGATTATCTATTTAAACTCTCTGATCACAACCGGCCCGCTATCTTTTACCTAACCAAGGTGTAACTCACTATTCATATGCTAGATTTTATAACACCTATAGATTTTGCACCCACCTTAGGACTTACTAGCATTAGCTAGTCTATCTACGAGGTAAACCTAACAGAGCGGTACATGTTCCACACATGTATTCACTTGCATGTTTGGTAAATTCTTCCTAATCTAGTACCTGTTGTGTTGCCGCCACCAGGTTCGTATCTCGAGCTATCTTTTAGGATACTGCCATAACTCGATCCATATCTCAAACCACAACCTTTCTATTTTAGTAGTTGTTATGTACTCCTGCTCTTGTTTTGGGTTCGCACAACCCCAGCAACCATATTTGAACTTTCCTTCTTTCCCAGATTTTTTATCAGTCTCTCCCTTACTTCTAGCCGGCAATCCGGAAGGGTTGGTTCATCTAGACTTTAGATGTCTATATAGTCTTCCTTCCCTTGGTACATGCTTCCAGAGCACATGTCCTTTTTCTCCAGTTTGCTGACCTGGCGGTTTGGCTAGTGTGTCCCCCTACTTAAAGACCTGGTCGCTTGGTTTTCCAATCTCAGTCTCCGGTTTCAAATTCAGTCTTCTTGTAGTACTATCAAAGATCAGACTACCTCCCTACTCGGGACTTGCCAAACAGGTTTTCAGTTCTTCCGGTATCTCAGATTTATTACACCAAAACTCCCATTCTAGATGGTGTGACCGAGATTACAGATTTCTAGATCCTACTGATCGTCAAATAGCTGTTAACCGTATCACAGAGCTATTTTTCGAAAATGTTATCTGTGAGATTCGAACTCTAGACCTGCCGTCTGGGAGTGCAACAACTCCACCACTTCACTAAGTTGCCACACCCCTAATTTTTGCAAATTTAATATATTAAAAACATATATATAAAATAAAAATTTGAAAAATATTTCGCAAACTTTTGCAATATTTCGAAAACTTTTGAAAATTTTCGAATAATTCGCAAAATTTCAAAAATTTTCGCAATATTTCGCAAAATTGCGAAATTTTTCAAAATATTGTGAAAATTTGTGAAAATTTGCAAAATTTTGCAAAATATTCAAAATCATGTAAAATTAATATATAATATAAAATAAATTGAATAATTTCAAAATTTTCAAATAATTTTAAAATATTTTTTGAAATTTATTAAAAATATTTACGATAGATTATGAAATTTGATTTAATTTATTTTTTCTAAATTTTTTAATAAATATAAATAATTCTAAATATTTTTAAAATTTATAGTATATATTTAATACAATAAAATATATATATATATATATATATTTTAATATTTAAAGTAATCACTTAGACCATTGGCATAAGCTTTATTCAGGTAATTATAATATTACATCTGTTTCACGAGGATACAACTAGCCACACATGCACCTTTTGGGTACTTAATTTAAGTAGTCCACCTGGGTTCTACACTAGCTGCCATACCTGCAATTTAACTAAGAGATTACCTATTTAAGCTCTTTGATTATTTCTAACAAGAGTATGATTAGCTATATATACAACTTTTGATTGTCTATTTAAGTAGTCTGCCCTAGATTCTACACTAGCTGCCATATCTATAACCCAACTAGAAAGCTATACATTTAAATCCTTTGGCTACTACTTTTATAACACACCCTACTCTAATACTCATATGAGATTAGCAATTGCCGTGAATAACTCTAAGACTTTAGCCAAATCATATTGGGACATTTATCCTTGTAGTAAATCTAACAGAATAGTACATGTTCCACTTATGTATTTACCTGCATGTTCTGATAACTTTCATCTAACTAGTACCTGTTGTATTGCCGCATGTCTTAAGCTATCTTTTTGGATACTACTATAACCTGATCCATATCTCAAGCCACAACCTTCTTAATTAGGATTCCATTATGTACTCCTCACCCTTGTGAGATTCACAACAACCCCGGTACCTATATTTCAACTTCTTTTTTCTCTGAATTTTTTACTGGTCCCTTTCTTACTTCCAGCTAGCAACTCGGAAAGGTTGGTCTGCCCAGGCTTTAGGTACTTTATAGTCGCCCTCCTCTTGGTACATGCTTCTGGAGCACAAGTTCTTTTTCTCCAGTTAGTATTCTGGTGGTTCGGCTAGTATATCTCCCTACTTAAGAATCTGGTCATTCGGTTCTGCGGTTTTAGTCCTTAGTTTCAAATTTGGCCTTTCTGTAGTACTGTCAAAGATTACTGCTACTTCACACTTGGGACTTGCCAAACAGGTTTTTAGTAATTCTAGTTTTCTGAATTATTACACCAAAGCTCCCATTCGAGATGGTGTGACCAAGATTATAGATATTTGAATCCAATTAATAATCTTAATATTAACCAATACAGATCTAGTTTTTTCAAAATTATTGTCTGTAGAATTCGAACTCTAGACCTGCTATCTGGGGGTGTGACAACTCTACCACTTTAATAAGTTGCCACACCTATAAAATATATTTAACTTATTTAAAATATATATTTATTTAAAAATAAAAACAAATTTATTGATTTATAAAATAAAAGAAAAAAAAAGTAATATTATTCAAATATAATAAAAAAACAAAAAAAATTAAAAGATTTACAGTTATTCTTGATCTTTGGAAATATCTTCTTCAAAGGTATCCTCTCTGGGGTATATTCTTCTTTTTCTGAATCATCTTAATCTTCATCAGAAGTCTTTTCATTTTTTTTTGGTTTTAGCTTATCAAAACTTACCTTAGTTACTTCTGGACATCTTGATTTCTTTAAGAAGTTCTGCTGCTTTCTTCAGGTTCTTGCCACTTTTTTCAGATTCTTCTAAAATTTTTCGAATATATTCGAATATTTCAAATACATAAATTATCTTATATAAATATTTAAAATTATTTACCTTCTCTTAGTTTTTTTCTTGCCTAAAATTTATTTAATATTAGATTTTTCAAAATAATTAAAAATTTTTAATATATATATACTTTTTTAGTATACTTTAAAGACCTTTTAAGTTTGCTATACTTATTCTAAATTTTTTAAATATAGAGTTAATAAATAATAATAATAATAATTAATATATTTAAATTTTTACTTGATCTGAATTTTTTGAACTAGATTCTTCAGATTTTTTACTATTTTTTGAGCTAGAAGAATCACTGTCAGAATTAGGTGGAGTAAATGCTTCATTTTTTTCTAAATACCACTATAATTCAAATATATTTGCATTATTTTGTTAATATTTTAAATTTTTAGAAAAAATAATAATAAAGAATTACTAGATTTCTTTCAACTCTTTGTTGTATAATTTTTTCACTAATTGCTAAGGTCTCGATATTAGGATTAAGCATAGTTTGGCATACTGCAATTGCATATGCAGCATTTTCATTTGAAACACCACCAGTTGGCTAGATTCTTTCTAAAATTCAAGTCATATAAGTATCTTCAGAACCTTTCTCAATATTCTTAAAGAGCTTCTTATAATATTTTTTTGTTTTTGCTAATTTTTTCCAATTTAAAACTTCTTCAGAAATTGATTTGTTTTAAAAGATTTCCAAAAATAAAATATATAGTATTTTTAATTTTAGTATTTAAAGTATTTTGCAAATGTCTAACTTTTTCCAAAAGCTTTAAAAAATATTATTATTAGTATTAGTATAAAATTTAAATTATTTTGCAATATTTAAAAAATATTTGAAATATTTCGAAAATTTTAAATTTTCAAAATATTTCAAATATTTTTTAAATATTGCAAAATATTTTGAAAAATTTAAAATAAACCAAATTTTTACTGGTCTATTGTATAATAAATTTTTAACTGGTTTTTTGACATTTTATTTATAAAATTAGCATTATTCATCCTTGGATATGTCTCTACTGCTGATAATAGTTCTTTTTCGTTTGGATAAATTGAATATTCTAATAAAGCTTTAGCAGCCTTCTTTACTATTTGCTATTATTTGAATAATATTAGAATATTTTTAAATTAATTTAAAGAAATAAAAATTTACTTTTATAAAAGCCTTTTTATTCGTAGTATCATATTCGTCCACTAATTTTTCATTAAATTCTCTCAAACGATTCTCTAATCTAGTAATTTGCGAATATAGTTGCCTAATTTCGAATATTAACTCTCTTTGATTTTCTAACAGTTTAGCTACAGTACTTTTAAATACTTTAAAAAAAAGTAAATTATTATAAATATTATAAAAATAAATAAAAATATTTAATATATTTAAAAACCTTCAAGTGATTTTGATATAGCTAACTGATTTCTAGTACTTCCTTTAATTTGTAACTCATCATGAAAACTTTTACTAACAACTAATTTTTCTTTAAACTCTTCTCTTGGTTTTTTTTAGTCTTCTTGCCTTTATCTGCTTTGTTTTGCTTCTTTATAACTTTCTTGGAGCTAAGATTTATATCTTTAAACATTTTTAAAAACTTTTGAATAATTTTGAATAATTTTGAATATTTTAGACTATAGTTAAATTATATTTAATTTTCTTAAAATGTTATTAATAATAATTTGATATTAGCTACCTAATATAAAAAAAATATAAAAAAAAAACTAAAAAAAAAGTTAGTTTATAATAAACGTAAAGAAAAGAGACTTAAAAAATTAAAGTATTTTTAGTATATATAATAATATAAAAAGATAAAACCAAATAACTTTTTATAGTTAAATAAAAATATGCTTAATATTTTAGTATATGGGGTTGAGTCAATAGAAACCAAGCAAATATTTTTTAATAAGTTTTTTTAAAAATTTCAAACAAGAATAACTTAACAAAACTTGATCAAATTCAATAAAATTTTTTTAAAATTAATTCTACAAGTTTGTAAAAATTATTTAAAAAAATTTTTATTAAATTTGGTTAAGTTTTGGTCA